AAGTGTTTAAAGTGAAGCTTATATGTCTGCCTTTCTTGAGACATATAAAACATATATGTTTATTAACGAATTCACGTGAAATAAACATTGTTCTGAGAGAGAGTTGCTCGGTCGATCAATCTGTCCGGGGTTAAAGCTCGGCTATTATAAAAGTACACGTATCTTCGCTTTAAATTTAAATATGCCCATGGTAAGGTATTTAGAATGAAGCTTATATTTCTATCTTTCTTGTGACATATAAAACTCTTACGTTTATTAAGGAATCTGTGTGAAATAGGCATGGTTCTGAGATGAATGCTGCGGTTTTCGAGCTCGACGCGCGGCAATGGATGCCTTAAACATCCAGTGGGTGTTATTGGACCCTATACCCATTTTATTTGTGGTTGGAGCCCCATACCCATTCTATGGGTGGTTGGAGCCCCATACCCATCCTGTGGTTTGTAGTGGACGCCATACTCATCCTGTGGGTGGTATTGGACCCTATACCCTTCCTGTGGGTGGATGTGATCCCCATACTCATCCTGTGGGTGGATATGACCCTCATACCCATCCTGTGGGTGGTATTGGACCCCTTTCCTACCTAACAGGCGGTAGGTGACAATATACCCATCCTAGCTATAGTTGGTATAGTAGACACAATACCGTCCTGTTTGCAGTAGTTTACCCCATAGACATTCAAATGTAACATCGTTTTCTGTTAGCGTTCCTACAAAACATTCTTTAAAGATTTTTAAAGCCAAACTATGGTATATAATATTGATTGGTGAAGCACTGTTATTCTATGTAATAATTTATAGTGCTTATTATAATTTACTAAGAACAACTAATATTTCTCAAAACAAAACTACGAGCCTTCAATAGGATATAGCTGATCTGTAATATTATAAGAGCATGGACAACAGTAGGTAAATTTCACAACCCATGTGGGACCTGAAAACTACAATTTTCCTTATAATTGAACCAATCACGAATATTCTGCTATCTATGTTGACGGACGGGTACTGTGACACGTAAATTGGTACGTGAGGAAGAGTTTGGGCCTTGGTAAAAAAAGTAACTGGGAATATATCACATATTTACTAATTCATATTCAACATATTGACTTTAAGCATTAAGTCATATATGTGCTGTCTTGTGTGAGAACGGGTTGGTCCTCTAGTGCGTGTGCCCCTTGTGTTAAATAGCCTGTCTTTATCAACTCTGTCGATTCCCTTGAGAATCTTGAATGTGTTGATCATGTCCCCCCTAACTCTTGTGTCTTCCAACGAAGTGAGGTTTAATTCCCGTAGTCTCTCCTCGTAGCTCATACCTCTCAGCTCGGGTACTAGTCTGGTGGCAAACCTTTGAACCTTTTCCAGTTTAGTCTTATGCTTGACTAGATATGGACTCCATGCTGGAGCCGCATACTCCAGGATTGGTCTGACATATGTGGTATATAATGTTCTGAAAGATTCCTTACACAAGTTTCTAATTATTTCAATGTGGTGGTCACTCATCGTTACTTTTTGACTCATAATAGCAACTTAGTGATTCAATATGGTGAACAAAACATTCAGATACTTATATATAATCTGTGTATATAGTGTAATAACCGACAAAGTATTTGTTCACTGTTTGATGAACATAATTGAATCAACAATATGCACACCATATTTTTGAGTACAGCAATGATTCACTCATTTTATTTTATAAATATATCACACTACACACTATTGAATAATATTACAGCAAAAAAACTACGAAAAATCAATCAGAGACATTGAAATAATTAGGTAATTATCTCTTTGTGGCAACTCCAGCCTGACAGCTGGCGAGCAACAGACCGTCTGGGACGCACGCTGAGTCAGCGCCTGTTTTTTGCCAGACTTCCCTGCCCTATAGCGGGCAATATATGCCACTTACGATTTTTTTATTATTTTTCCCATGATCAGTGAACACAAATTAACAGGTTTAGATTTTTTTTTTTTTTTTTTTTTTTGTATGCACCTGTGAGTGACATGCTAAGTAGCCAGGCGCCATTTAAGGGTTAACCAAAGGTAAAAACAAGAGGGACTTACCCAGGAGGCGGTCACCACTCGCTCCTCAACTCAAAGTCGAGACCACTGGGACAGCCCAAAGCGCGTCCCCACCCACCAGGGCCGTGGTGCACAGGTAACGGCGAAGAGCCAAGACCGGAAACGACACATGATGCACCACAGGCCAAACCAACCACGCATCAACAACCCAGGGACCCCTCCGGAAAGCAGCAGTCTCATTCTTTGCCAGAAAAGGAGACTGCTGCAAATGAACAAACCAACCAGGCTCTGTCAACGCCTCTTTTTTGACAGACTTCCCTGCCCTATTGAACTCAAAATATGCCACCTATGATCCCCCCCCCCCCGGTGATCAGGGAACACAAACGAACACTCTTTTAAGACGAAAGAATTTTTTTTTTTTTTTTTTGTGCTTGTGGGTGTTGAGGCAAAAATGGCCCTTAACGGCAAAAGGGTTAAAAAGGGAGGAGACGCGGGAAGACCCCAGGTTCAGACACCGAGCAAGCAGCGCCTGAAACCAAAGCTGGACCTGCCACCAAGTGGCCAACAGGATTACTCCCTTGTCATGTCTCCAAGCGAGCCGGTACCTGAAGCAACAGCAGAACCAGGGTAAGAAGTACAGGTAACCCCAGCCTCAACTAGTCCAGCCTGAATACATCTACCTGGACAGCCTCACAGACGGGGAAGGGTGCCACATAATTCGGGAGAAGTCTTGACCACGCTGATGCGAAGAGGCCCACCTCCGGGAGCCTGTTTATCCGGCAGTGCCAACTGGGGCCTCGTAGCCTGGTGGATAGCGCGCAGGACTCGTAATTCTGTGGCGCGGGTTCGATTCCCGCATGAGGCAGAAACAAATGGGCAAAGTTTCTTTCACCCTGAATGCCCGTTACCTAGCAGTAAATAGGTACCTGGGAGTTAGTCAGCTGTCACGGGCTGCTTCCTGGGGGTGGAGGCCTGGTCGAGGACCGGGCCGCGGGGACACTAAAGCCCCGAAATCATCTCAAGACGACTCAAGATAACCTCAAGAATGAGTTGGCATCGGGTGTCCATTCCGTGGACATGGAAATGAACTGCGACAGGCCGAGCAGCAGCAGGAAAATGACCAGGGGGGGCGAGGACAAAACCAAAGTCGAGGCAACTAACGCCCCACCCCCCACCCCCAAGTCTGGGTCCCTATAACTTAAACGAGGTAGCATCGGGGCATCTGGGTGAGCAATCAACCTAGTGCGCTGCAGCAACCTAAAAAGGCGCATGCAACACCGAAGTCACCTGCACCCGAGTATCAAGATCAGTGGACTGGGTGAACTGGAATACAAGCAAGGAACACCACTCGCAGGACTCTAGGTCAAAGATGTCACCGACCCAACAAGCAGCCTTTAGGAAGCAGAACAGGCGATTGTCACCCTGAGACAAGAGGACAGACCATCCTTCAAACTCGCATGAAGATGGGACCCAGGGGACACATCCATCGGTCCACTGAGCCCCAGTGGGGGTTTCCAGGGGCCCTTAGATGCTCTGCTAAGGGAAGCCCAGGAAAGGTACTGCTAACCGGCACCCCAAACTACCAAGTGAACTACTAATTGCTGAACCCGTGATGTGTATACACATACGGGGGACCTTGTGGAGGACACCAAGAATACATATATATATATAAGGGTAAACACCACCAAGGGGCAGACCCTTCAGCAGGCAGAAAACAAATACAAAATAACCCCCCCCCCCCTACGAGGACAACATCACAGGCGGAACAGAGCCGGTCTCCATATTATGGTGAAAACCAGCTGCACAGTACCTTGCACCCCTACCAGTGACAAAGCTACTTCCTACCAAGAGGCAATCGGGTGCATGAAACACTCCAGCCGACTCCAAAATGGAGGGGGGGGTGGGGGCAATCACCGAGCAGCTAAAGACCATGGCAAAGATAGGACCCAAGCGACCTATGGAAGATAACCCAAAGCCCCAAGGGCAGTGCTTACAGGGCACCTAGAGAAGGTAACCCTAGGTGCATGCAGCCCGAGTACTGGTAAAATTTCTCCTGGCTTGCACACCATCATAGGACAAGATCACACCACAAGACACAGCACCGGGTTAAAGGACAAAGTCTGGAGCCAGAGTCACACGACCGCCAGGTCTCACATCAGCCACAGAACTGGGGGGAGGTGGATAGCCAGTGGGGGGGAAAGAGGGGGGGGGCTGAAGGTCCCCCCCTCCCTTCACCCTCCAGGGGAGGGGGAGCTACGAGACAGCGGCACAGTAACTGTTGCGACACCATGATCATTTTTAGTTTGGGGAGTTTTGTCCAACAGTTCAACTTTCAATAGCAATTTTTAACCAGATAAGAGTTTGTTTTGGGATGCCTACCTTGTTGGGTACCTGACCCGGTCGATGGCTGACATAGAATTCCTCCAACCACACAGAGGTTTCTATAGGCCATTGCTCCTCATGCCCCTCTGGGGGTGCCAGGTTCTGGCTCGTGGTCCCCAGTAGGCCTAAGAACTCCATTCACTTGACTCGTGCCAGGGTCTAATACATTCATATCAGCCCGGATAGCTCCAGGGAACCGACAGGGCTCTCCCCCAGAAATACTACATATGCAATTTATTGTAATTTACTATTTATCCTGGGGATTGGGTTGGGGGCAGGTGATTGTTGTAATAAATAAAAGAATTTTTACTTTGAAACATTACAGTCCCCAGTTACATTACAATCAAATTGGCATTAAGCCCTCATGAATCTTATTAATTGACCCTTATCGTCAGAAAACTTTGCTCCAGTTATGCACATCTTAACATATATCGGTAATATAACAAGACAGGACAACAACAAATGACAATGCAACAAGCAGTAACAATCACTTATGACAATGCAAGACATTATAGTAGGTATCAAGTTCCCTATTCTTGATATAACCATCACTAACTTCTTACATTTTCACAATATGCAATACATAATAAACAAGAAACTCACCTAACTTCTCGGTGCATAAAATTTTTAAAAACTTTGTACTCAACCCAGGACCTCTCTTCTGTATTGACTCGATAAGGTATTTCAGCTGAAAAGAAATAAATAAATTATCTCAACTTGCCAAAGTACCTCTTCACATGAGCATTTTTAAAAGTGCAAATTATCATTAAGTTTTCTAGGTCTTTTGATTTCAATTGGAGGAAAGCATGTCCCCACCCTTGTACACATCCCCAACACAAACATTATGAATACTATTACAAACAAACATACCAATGCTTGTGAACATTAAGTACAGTAAACCCTCACAATTAACACTACTTTATTATCAAAGTTATTATCTGTTGTGTGGGAAAGGAAGGGCTGGAATCTGTGTAATCTATCTACTTCGTTTATGGTCTGAGAGCTGTAGATGTGTGACGTGTGGTGTGGTCAATGTATCAATCTCTGCCACACACAAATGTTGACATTCATTCAGGAGAGAACCTACAGGCTCAATTATTAAGGTTTTAATGTTATTTGCTTTATTTGTACTATAGTTAATTCAGTCTAGTGTTGTGTTGAATAGCTATTTACATATGTACAACTGGCAAAAATGAGGCAAAAAAACAAAAACAAAATTAACACAAACTCATTAGTACTATGTTACTGAAATTTGTACAGTATAACATAAGCGAAGCGAGATGAAAAAGAATACTGGAGCTAAATAGTATAATATATTTTAAGATGCCCACATTGTTGCATTCACAGAGATGAAACAAAGGTAATATTTTAAATGAGGTATCCTAAAGGACTACACAATTTGGAAAAGTGACAAATTACAAAAGATTGAAAATTTGCCATGCCGGTGATTGAACACCTAAAGGTAACAGAATTAATAATCAACAACCCACAAGAAGTTAACAATATCACTGGAGATATGTAATCACAATGGTAGTGATAATCATAAATGCACGCAGTCCACAAGCAACACATGGACAGAGAAAGAGCTGGATGACAAAAAACCAGCGTTGAATGTAATGAAACGCCATTTTCCGAGTTACACGAAGAGACTTCCCGGAGCTACACCGGGCTGATATGTATATAATAGACCGTGGCAACAATCAGTCGAAGGAGTTCTAGGTCTACCGGGGACCAGAGCCAGAACCTGGCTCCCCCCCTCAAGAGAGGCACGATGAGCAATGGACTAAAGACACCCCTCGTGTAATTGGAAGCAGTCTTTGTCTGGCGTCTACCATACCAGGTCAGGCACCCAGAAAGGTAGGAATTCCAAAACTACTGCTGGTCAAAAATTACAAACCGTCACCACAACTGCCACGCATCTGTCTGAGTACCCCCCCCCACCCCCCGGGAGGGGAATGTGGGGTTACCTCCACGGCAGTAACTCTCCTCGGTTCAGAGGCTGAGTATTAAAAATGAGAAAAACCGCCGACTGGGAGGGAGGGATGCCAGGGAGCCTCCGGGTTTCACCCAGAAAATGGCGTTTCATTACATTCAACGCTGGTTTTCTGTGGAGAGCCCCTTCAGCTCCCGGGAGCTACCTAACCAAAGATAAAGAAAAGAAAAGAAAAAGGGACTTACCAGGGAGACGGTCGTCGCTCGCTCCTCAACTTGAAGTCGAGATAATTGGCTGCAACCTGCGAGCCAAGGCGACACAAGCCCGACAAGGGCCAGGAGCATTAACAAGGTACCGTGCAACCAGGACCCTGTTCAACCTCGAAAAGCCCCGTGCCCGAAAGTAGCCCAGGACATTTCCAAAAAAAGCAGCCAAAGCCTTGAACTTACGAACGTCGTGGGCACGGGGATAGACCGCAGGCTGGCTAGACTGATTAATCCTGTGGACAACCTGGAAGACCCACGCCCTGGAATAGGGAAGAAGGGAAACTGGGTCAACCCAAAGAGCATCCCTGCTACGGAGGCCGTGACGCGCAAATAACGGTGAAGAGCCACAATCATACAAAAAGCATGATGCCCCCCCCACCCCCCGGCCGAACCAAGCAAGCAACAACCCAAGGACCCTTTTAGAAAGCAGCAGACTCATTCTTCGCCAGAAAAGAAGGAGACGGCTGCAAACGAAGAAACCACCACCAGAACCGAAAGAGCAGAAACCCCTGTGTTGGAGGAGAGCATAAAGCTCTCCGATCCAATCCCCTAGAGGCCAATGCCAACAAGAAAAAAAGTGCCTTAGAAATCAGTCCTGAACCGAGGGGGACCACCACAAACCAAAGAGAAGAAAGAAGAGAGCACCCGGTCCAACGACCAGGAGAGCTCAGGCGGCGCATGAGTAGGCCGGAGGTGAAACAATGCCCGAGAAAGCTTGCGGAACGGAACAGAAGTGACATCCATCCTAAATGCAAGCTGCTGCGGCTCCACCAGTGCCACACGACATTAGGTGACAGTATTTATCATAAGATGACTGTTCTGAAACAACCAAGAGAAAGGACAAAACAATCCGATTAGAAATCAACAATAACCTACTTAGACAAAAAGTGCCGAAAGGATCACCAAAAAATTTCATACTGCCATCGAGACGAAACTCGCAGGTGGGACACCAACAAAGTCACCTGATCACCATACAAGTGGTCATAAACCCGCATCAAAAAGACCAGATGCGAAGAGCAGAGAAGATTGAACCAGCCACATACTGGACCAGTCCGATCTGCTGAAAGAGGCGGAGCCGTGGGAAGATCCTGGGGTTCGGACAGCGAGTAAGAAATGACTGAAACCAGGCCTGGGTCGGCCACCAAGGAGCCAACAGGACTACTCTTCCCTGGTAAGTCTCTCCAAGCGAGCCAGGACCTGGAGCAACAACAACCGATGGGAAGAGGTACAGGTAACCCCTCCTCGACCAATCCAGCTGAAAGGCATCAACCCTGACGGCCTCGCAGTTTGGAAAGGGTGCCACATACACTGGAAGATGCCTCGACCAAGCCGATGTGATGGGGTCCACCTCTAGGATCCCGTACGTCCGGCAGAACCAACTGAACAAGTCGGCGTCGACCATCCATTCCGTGGATAGGGGAATGAACCGAGACAGGCCGTCCGCCAGGAAGTTTGACATCCCCTGAACGTAAACCGCCAGGAGAGCCAAACCCAGAGAACTCAGCAGATGAGTCACCTGAAGTGACCAGCCCCATAGCCAAGGACCACATCGAACCTCCGTGGTTCAGACAATGAACCACCAGGGAGCAGCCCGAATGGAGCCGAATCGTTGCTCCGTGAGCAACACGAACTCTCTGGAGCGAATGCCACACCGCCGCGAACTCCCACGCCGTGCTGTGAGACCAACAGAAGGACAGACCCCATCGACCCTGGCCGGCCTGGTGAGCACTGGTCACAAAACCCTAGCCAAGAGATGAGGCATCCGTGAACACATCCCACGAGGGCTCGGGGAGGAGTCAGGGCACAGAACCCGAACAACCCTCGAAGGAAGCCAGAGACGCAGCACCTGACGCAAGGATCCCGGGATCCGAACCAAGCGATCTCGAGAGCGGCAGAAGGGACGCCCCCGAAGAAACCAGAACAGCTGCCGACGCCAGATCTTACCCGACGGGTAGACCAGCACGGCGAAGTTCAGGCTCCCGCACCGCAATTTGAAAAACAGACTTGTGACCTGGGTGCTCTCCAAAAACAGTCTTAAGCGCAACCACAACAACGCTGCCAGAAGGAGATAGAAGGAAGCGGTCCGAGTCCCACTCAAGACCTAGCACAGTCTGAACCCGAAAGGGAACCAAATGGGACTTCCTCCAGTTCACCAAGAACCCAAACCCAGCAAGCTGGGAAAGAACCAAATCCATGGCGAGCTGACACGCGGATTAGCTGGAAGTCCACACCAGCCATTTGTCGAGGTAAGCCAGAACCCAAACTCCCATCAGATGCAAAAGGGTCACCACATCCCGAGAAAGGCGTGTGAACATGTGAGGTGCCAGATTCAAACCGGAAGAAAGGCAATGAAAGTGGTAAGCCTGTCGCCCCATGAAAAAACCGAGCCAGTCCCTAAACCCAGGATGAATCGCAACGTGCCAATACGCGTCCTGGAGGTCCAAAGACACCATCCAGGCACCCGGCGCCAAAAGCAGCCGGACTCGAGACAGTGGTCATCCAAAAGGAGAGGCAAAAGACCCAGGGGATCAGATGGGACAAGTCCATTATGAATTACAGATCTGCACAGTCCCGTTTCAGAACTGAACAGGCAAAGCGAAGAACAGACACCTCCTCCCTCAGAAACGGTGCATACAACTTCAAAACGACAGCTGGCACCCAAGCTGCCGAAGCAAGCACACCAGACACAGGCCCGGAACCCAGCTCCTCCACACCCACCCTGAGTCAGTCCGAAGACAGCAACAAGGAAAAAAAGTGCAAGACCGAAGCCAAGTGCCCACAGGCGTGCAAATCCTCGGCCACCAGGGATGCTGAAAGGGAGGGAACCTGCACGTGAAGCCGCACCTGACTGACATCATGAGGAAGGACGGGGGCGAACAAGCACGCATTGAGGTGCTCCAACTCGACCCCCAGGTAAATCTGAACGACGGTAGTCAACTCCCGCCATTCAAGTACGGATGGCAGGAGTACGACAGAACGAATGCCAAGCCCCAAATGAAAAGAAAAGTAAATAAAAGAAAAGGCAGGTTGCCAGCCAGGAAGACTCCCAGCAACTCGAAACGCACCCAGTAAGGAAAAGAGGAGCCAAACTCGAAAAGCAGGCGGCTTCATTATCAAGACGTAATCCGGGTCTCGCAAGAGGTAAGCTGCAAGGGCCTCCCACACCTTCCTCGGTGGGATGCGGGAAGCCAAAAACTTCTGGAAGGAGGGGAACCGAAGAACCCAAGGAAACTCTGAACCGAACCCGGGGAGGAGAAACTTAACAAAATCGTACAGGGAGGGGGATAGGAAAAACCCCTCTTCTTGTAACAAGCCCCACTCCGAGGGTGCCAACACTCAAGCAGGGTCAATTGGGGCCCAAACCCCCCCCCCCCCCAAGTCAACTCCTCCCCAGCCTCGGAATCCTCCACGTCAAGACCTGGGGCCGAGCTGTCCACCAAACCCTCTGCCTCTAGAGAAAATGCAGAGTCCACCGGAAAAGTTGGATGCAGGGGTGGCCCGCTGGCGCGACCCAAAAGCTCCGGCAGGAGGAACAGGCTCGAATGTCTCCGCCACCAATCCTGAAGGGGCAGTCCCTGAAGCAGCCCGAGTCTCACTACCAGGTACTGTATAATCAAAGTGAGGCAGCTGCGGGGCATCCGGAAAGGCAACCAACCTCACATGATGCTGCAACCTAAACCTCACAAGCAACGCTAAAGCTGCCTGCACCCGAATATCAGTCTCGGTGGACTGGGTGAACGGAGTACAAGCAAACACCACCACTCGCAGGACTCCAGGTCATAGGTGTCACTGACCCCAACAGGCAGCAAGGCAGAGGCAGGTGGTGTCACCCTGAGACAAGGGGACAGAGCAACCTTTAAACTCGCACAAAGCGAGGTGGAACTCGGAGGTCTCCATCGGACCACCGAGCCCCAATGGGGGTTTCCAGGGCCCTTAGGCTGACTGCTAAGGGAAGCCCAGGCGAGATACTGCTAACCGGTTATCCCAGAGCTACCAAGCAAACAAACTAAAAGCTGAACCCCTGCGACATGTGCAAGTATGGAGACTTTGTGGGGGACCACCAAAATCCTACAAGTGGTCCTACCACCACACAAGGCAGACCCTCCAATTAAAACAAAAGAAAAATCCTGCAAAAGCACAATGTCTCAAGGTGAACAGAACCAGTCGCTATGCGTATATCAGACAGCTGCACAGTACCCCGCACTCCAGCCAGCGACGAAACTACCTCCTACCCAAGAGCAAACAGGAGTAAGAACAACCCCAGTTGAACCCCAAGGGCGGGCAATCACCGAGCAACAATAGAACCACACTGAGGTAGCTGCTCCAAAACGGCTCATGGAAGATAACCCTAAGCCGCAAAGTCAGTACTCATGGGGCACCTAGGGAAGGTAGCCCTAGTTGCATGCAGCCCCAGTATTCTTGTGTTACTCCTGGCTCGCACACCACCAACACAGTAACAACACCGCTAAGCAGCACTGCGCAAAGTGTGGAGCCAAAGTCAATCAACTGTCACCAACACAACAGCCTCTTGAACTGAGAAGAGTATGTCGGCATGGTCATATGGGACCCCCCCCCCCTGGGGAGGGAGGGTGAGCAGACTGATGCACGGCGGTTGAGGAGACACGTTTGTTTCCTCGTTTTTGATTGGGGAAGTTCCGTTTGCTAGTTCGGCCTTCGGTTTGCAATTTTTGACCCGCAGTAGTTTGTTTTGGAATTCCTACCTTTCTGGGTGCCTGACCTGGTAGATAGCAGACGAAGACTGCTTCCAATTACACGGGGGTGTGTCCTTAGGCCATTGCTCCTCGTGCCTCTCTTGAGGGGGCCAGGTTCTGGTTCTGGTCTCCGGTAGGCCTAGAACTCCTTCGATTAACTGTTGCCATGGTCTAATATATATACATCAGCCCGGTATAGCTCCAGGGAGCCGAAGGGGCTCTCCACAGAAGAGACTGTCAAAAGTCCCACATTGTTGGAAGAGAAGAAGAAGTTGAACTAGAACATTGAGAAGTTGAACTAGAAACTTAACATACTGGAGAGGTGACAGACTGCCAACAAGGATGAAAAATTTTCTAAATGACAAAAATGGGAGCAGTAATCAGAGGGAATATAACAAGATTGAAGAAATATTACTGGTGGAGAACCACAGGGTTCAGTTCTTGCATAAGTAATGTTTGTCTATATGAACGATCTAACAGAAGGTATACAGAATTATATGAACAAGTTTGCTGATGATGCACAGCTTCTAGGAAAGAGGCTTGCACAATTGTCACGACCTTCAGGCTGACCTGGACAGAGTACATGGAGCAACACTTGGCAGATGGAATTCACGCATTATGGAACGTGAAATAGGAGAATATCGGCTATGCACAACCTACAAATTACTTGAAAAAGCTTTAAAAGAACTGAAAAATAAAGATCTAGGGGTGGTTGTGACTAGTAAACTGCCACCAGAGGACCACATAAAGCACTTTCTGCAAGGAGTCTTTGCTATGCTTTCTCACTCCACAATCACTTTTACATAAATGGATGGTGAAATATTAAATAAATCATTCACAACTTTTGTAAGACCAAAATTGAAGCTTGCAGCAGTGCATGGTGCCCATCTCAAAAAAACCTATCAATAAACTGGAAAATGTGCAAAGATATGCTACTCACTGGCTTCCAGAACTGAAGAACAATAGCTACGAGGAGAGGCTACTGAAATATCAAATGTAGTGTAGCATTGTCTGTATGTACTACTCATTCATTGCCACACACTTTACCAAGCTATCATTATTGTTCAATATACCTGGACAGATGCATCTGTACCAGTTCTTTGCATCACTTTTCCACACCACAAGCTCTAGCAAGACTGAGAAGCAGTGATCCCAACAAAAACCTTAGCAACAAAAATTTGTTTTCAACAGGAGCTATAAAAAAAGTTAGATTAGTTCAATTATTATTCACCCCATACCCATCCTGTGGGCAGTAATGGAAAATTTTAGAGGCACATAGACTGAACCTCTATATTTTTTAGCTAATCAAGTTACTATCTTGATAGGTTAATTACAAACTGTAATGTACATTGCTATCCTGTATCAACAATGGGTTCAAAACCAACCACAAGAACAGTGTCTAAGGTAAGCAACATGTATACAATTATGTTTATCTGGCACACTGCCTCCCCATCCACCGGACTGCAGTGGAAATGTTACCATCATCCACATTTACTACCAACAAGTAACAAACTGGGGAATAAAGTTCCCCAGTTTGAATAATGAATAAAGTTCTGCACTTACTTTGATTTGAGTCGAGGTATCCATGAGAGGAGATCTCACAAGTGTGTTACGCAACTTGTCTTCTGTTATCATTGTTATGTACAACAGCAGCAGCAATAGCTTTGTCAACTCCACTTGACAACCTGAAGCAACATCTTCAAAGCAGATTAATTTTGGACCAGCAAAGTGATCTGCAATGTCAAAAGTTTGTTACAACGATGACAAAAATCTGTCTACATCAATTCCTAAAAACTACGGATATAAGAAAATATTATAATTATGCGCAAGATAAACCCATTTTTGCTCTACACTTTATTCGTGCAACTTTACTAAATACAGAAAAAACTCATTAACATACAGAGGGTTCCCTGCTCTAATGAGCTATACTCAAATTCCTGGTGATCCAAACAGTGTGTTTGGTGCAAATTATCAATGGAATCAACAAAAATTCATTTCCGTGAGGTAACAGTGGCCTTAGCTGCCACTAAATTTGGCCGTCATTGTAAAATATTGTACAGTATAAATTTTGTTTAAAACTTAAATACAACATTTTATAAAATAAATGATAAAATAATAGCTAACAAAATATCCAGAGCGGCAAGGAGTGACTCATTATTGCACCATGTGGATTGTCCATGCTAATTTTTTTTTAATGATCCAAAATTTGCTATAATACAGAAAACTTTAATACAAAATAAAATACAAAATGTTATTTATACAACATTTGATATAATTATAAAATTTACATTCGATCTAAAATATAAAATTTTATATTTATATATAAAATACTAAAGTACAGTATTAGGAAGAAAAAAAACTCAAGCTATATACAATTATTATTAATGATTAAAATTAGCAAACTGGCATGAAAATATTCCCAAGCCAGTGTGATACTATGCTTCCAACAGCACCTGGCATTGACAATGTTGTCACTGTACTTGTCCTGTAAGACCACATGTCTTGCAGGGGCAACCCTGGTGCTCAACGTGGTAAGAAAAGTAGAAATGTATTGTGACTGGGCAGGAAATTATTGACTAGTATCTGTCCTAAGATACCTCCCACTACTTAGTGTGAGGTTGCAAGAGGTTGCGTGAGGGTGGCACCCTCGCATTTAAGCAGCACTTTAATCTGCAGATATAGCTTCTCTGCACAAGGGGAGGGTAGTAAAGCTTTGGCAGATGCAGGCGATGAGTCACAATAACGTGGCCAAAGTATGTTGACCAGATACTCAATCGACTTGAGAATGGTCCAGGACGGACCGAAACGTCGTCGTCCCCTTCACATTCTGGTCTGGTCAACAAGCTTTGGCAGAAATTATACACTAGTTGCACTAACATCACTCATAATAAAAGCTTTTGAGAGTGATTAGGAATCAAATTTCCAGTTTTATGGAAAATATTGAGCTACACTGGTGGTACTGAATAGATGAGGAGCCCTCCAAGTCACACAAATATTTACCTAACATAATCAAATCAACCTATCAATGCTATCTAGCCATAAATAAAGCAAAATTTGGAAAAATTACAATGTTAATGCGAGCAGCCATAAATGTCATGGCCTAAATTGTGAATGACTGCAAGAGAAGAACTATCACTCAAATTGTGCAGGCTAATATGCAGGCTAATATAATCTCTGGGCTAATATGCCCAGAGATATGTAAATATACAGCAGTGTTGATAAGGGCTAGTGGATTCCATCCACCCATATGAGTGGATGGAATCAACACTGCTGTATATTTACATATCTCTGGACATATTAGCAATATGCTATCCTAAATAACACTAAAGATGGTGGAAATATGGGCTCTCTCCAAGTCAGCCTCACCTAACCCCCAAAGACATTACCTTGCATTGATTTCGGGAATCAGCGTTCCCACAGCCTGATTTCTAACCAGGCCTCCTGAAATGTCACAAGACATTTTCTTAAATTATTAGGATTTTATGCTATCCACGAATGCAGAGGTACCAAATGATACATATAACTGGGTTGCACTAAATATAAATGTATAATCTTATAAAGTATTCATTCAGCTAATCAAGCAAACCAGACATAAAACAACCTAAAATTAAGGGAAAATGGAAGTCATTATTAATAAACAAAATATACTACCTGTACCTACCTTTGATTATGGCATCTAGCCCTGGTATTAGGGAAATTATATCCGACTTTTGTACATCTTCATTTTTCCTGCAAATAAACATTGCAAAATTAACTTAAGCAGACGACAATAAAACAACAAAATGTAATGGGAAAAAAATTTCCAGTCAAGTAAATGGACCAACCTGGAAATTATTATACAATACAGTATTCATAAATACAAACACACATGAACGTATCACCAATAAAAGCAACACCAATGGAAGGGCACAAGAATAACAGACATAAGCTGTTGCCAGTACGTCAGAGATGGCAGTAACAAAAACAACTGCAATGAGCAAAGCTCCCAATATCTGGAGACCTCATCACCACTGTTTCCCCCTTTCATGGGACAGGAAGACATACACCACATCTTGAAAATAGAAAGGCAACAGGAGAAGTGCGATTCCAAAAAAACGAAACTCCATCCACTCGTGAACATAAACCGGCTTTACTGCCACATGTAAAAGGGGCCTGACAGCCGAGTAGACAGCACTTCAGATTTGTAGTCCCGAGGCTCCGGGTTCAATCCCCAGTGGAGGCGGAAACAAATGGGCAGACTTGCTACCCTGATACCCCGTTACCTAGCAATAAATAGATACCTGGTAGTTAGACAGCTGCTACGGGCTGCTTCCTGGGGGTGTGTAACAAAAAGGAGGCCTGGTCGAGGACCGGGCCGCGGGGAAGCTAAGCCCAGAAATCATCAAGATGACTTCAAGAAGATAACCTTATACTCTACTGTCTGTACTGTAGCAACATACACCGCCACCATTGCTACACTCCAATGCTATTTCCACAGCTACACCCCAAAGCTAAATACAGACAGATGTAAAGTGCTTCCCATGCATTACTTAAAAACTGTCGAACATTTGCCACCTTAACACTTTTGAGGCACCGGGCCCAGGACCTCCCCACTACCTCAGGTGGGCTTGGGCGTTCCGCGGGAGCGCGAGGGAGAGTGCGGTAAATTCTGAAAAGTGCATAATCTTTTCAACTTTGTCAGCTCAATTCTCGTCCTAAGATATTCAATTTGGTATCAATATGTTCGCAATAGAATTCTCTACAGGACTAATTGCATATAAACTCCAAAAGCCCGGCTTGTAACGGGGGGTGGGGGAAATAGCTCTCTTGTCCATTATTCCACCCCCCCAGTTAACTAACAAGGCCGGGGGAAACAGCTCTCTCTAGTCCGTTATCCCGTCCTCAGTTAGCTAACTATTCTAGGGCACCTCCAGAGTTCCTACGGCAGCCTCTCTCGTTCAACACCTTGTAACCTAGGTATTTGACTACCTAGGTGCGGGTACTACAAGGCGCTGTAACTTGATCAGCTACCCGAAACTCTAGAGAGAACTCTAGAGTACATTTCATTGCTACAACCGCATAAGAGAAAAGGGAAGAAATGGATAATGAAGTAGTTAGTGAGGGTTTGGGGTGAGAGAGGTAGTGAGGTGGTAGGAGTGAGGAAGGTCGTTAGTTGAAAGGGAGAGTTCAGAGAGGGGTGGAGGGAGAGGGGTAGATAGGCAGAAGTAGAAGAGTAGATAGTGGAAGTCGAAATGTTGCCACCATCCATTCTAGACCATTACATACAAGACAAGGAATGGAACTTGTCTGTATCACCATATTCTCAAGAGGTCATTATTAGTATGTTCCATCTGAATCATGTACTCATTAAAATCCTGAACCCAGTAACCGCAGAGGCTTTCTCACCTCAACTCAAAAACTCTAGGGAACAAAGTTAAAGACAATTTAAATAATAAATTCAACAATTATATTTTTCATGATAAGTATCATAATTTAAGCCATTCAACTTAATGTTCAAGAAATGTTCAAGAAACAAAGTGCAAAGCGAGTCATCATCCAAGAATTCGAGAACCCTACAACTTGACTGCCCCTGATCCTCACACAACAGTTGTAAACACGACCAAGTCACCTTAATGTTCAACTCACCAGGTGTCTGCCTATAGCTGGATAGAGGGGGGAGGGGGGGGGGGGTCTGTAGTTGACAGAGACTGTCTCGCCCTGCCGGCTGACAGCCTCCCTGGCTAGGCCGTCTTCTCCTCTGCTCTGCTGGCCCCTATTCTATCTCTATGCTCTGCTCTCCGAGTATATATTGGGAAACCTAGTAGCTAACTCCGCCCACAAGTAGATAGCCCGAAGCACTCTACCAAGCCACTCCTTAAACGTCGGCATGTTTGAAGGCCAATTATCAGATTAGCGGAAGCAAGGTGGAATTCGCATGATCTGACCTCAGGTCACTTGGGGTCATTAACGCATAGAGGTGTGAGACTCAGGCCGACCAAACTGGCGCCTCTCAAATCCTTGTCTGTGACTCATGAACTATATATATTTTTAAATAAAACTAAACCAAACATCTTACGGTGTTACAGGCTTACCAGCTTACCATCCGCAACTAACAAAGAAAGTGAGAGTAAGTTACCCGGGAGCACACAAGAGTGGTAAAATGTTAACACTTTTCAGTTTTGTCAACTCAATTCTCGTCCCAGGTCTTTCATTTTGGTATCAATATGTTCGCAATTGAATTCCCAACAGGACTATATGCATATAATATAAAAAACAGCAGCGATCTCCACCCGCCGACATGATGAAAACAGGCCCGGTTACAAGAAAGAGAGCGCTGCGCCACCCCAAGGCACTTCTCACTATGAAAAGTGAATATTCTTTTCAACTTTGTCATCTCAATTCTCGTCCTAGGTTTTTCAATTTGGTATCAATGTGTTCGCAATATAATTCTCTACAGGACTAAATGCATTTAAAGCCCAAAAGCCCAGCGAGAAAGTGAGAAAGTGAGAGCGTGTTACCCAGCAATAAAATGTGTACACTCTCTTCACTTTGGACATCTCAATTCTCGTCTTAATTCTTTCATTTTGGTATCATTGTCTTCGCAATAGAATTCCCTACAGGATTATGGAAATATAAAGTCCAAAAGCCCGGCGTACCATCCACAACACGCAGGGAAAGTGACAGAGCGTTACCCCCGTGAGCGCTAATAAAGAGCAATAAAATGGGTATTCTGTTTTCAACTTTGTTACCTCAATTCTGGTCCTAGGACTTTAGTTTTGGTATCAATGTATTCACAATGAAATTCCCTACAAGAGTATATGCATATAATGTCCAAAACCGCAGCAAGACCTTCCCGAAAAAAACGCTACTGTTGCCGCACTTAGGACTCAATGCCGAGTCCTCACCGAACTTGCCCCTATTTTGCGGAGGACTCAATGCTGAGTTGTCGCCGGGCGAAAGTGTTAAACAGATTCCATGTGCTAAAGCGTTCAGCGATTCAAATTCCGGTAACCAGAATCTCAGGCCAATCCATATGAATGTGTTCATAATTTTTGTTAGCAGAGGAAGTAACTGGGTTGTGGTACAAAAAGTGAACCCCTGAGCACTGAAAATCAGTACCCCAAACCAACAATGCACTTTGCACAAGATCCATATTTCTGACATTATATATTCATGAAGAATTACAAAAACTACTATCACATGCCTAAAACATCATTTGGAGACGAAGCGAAGATACTGTATTGGCATTATCCCCGCCACTTAAATCAGCGGAGATTGTATCACTCCACAAAGGACACTGTACAGCAGATGTAAAAAGTTATACACCAATAGCACTAATATTACAAACAAAAGAATTCTTTTAAAGTGTTAAGAAGCAGAATTACAACATCTAGAACACGCAGCACATGGAATTATAACATCTACAAAATTCTGGACAACATGGGTTCAGAACAGGGTGCTCCTGCCTCTTCTCAATTGCTAGTCCATGACATGGCCTTGCATGTTATGGAAGACAAACAAAAATATTGATGTAATATACAGTACACAGATTTCAGGAAAGGTTTTGACAAATGTGACCATGGTGTTATTGCACACAAAAGGAATTACTTGCAAAGAAAGATGAATCCTTAATTTTCTAACAAAACCCAAAGAGGAGAGTAATAGACAACACGGTAAAATTTGAACTATCCACCATGAAACGCTCTGTTTCCCAGGGTAATGTGCTTGCTCCAGTACAGTATTCTCTCATTCTTATATCAGATACAGACAAGGACACAAACTATTGTATGTTATTCTTCGCAGAATGGATTAGGATTTTTGAGTAGAAAATACTGACACATTCCGTATCACTTCACCCAGATTTTAGGCAAATTTCCCGGCACCCTCTTCAATTTTGATGCAGTTTGGTACATTTATAGATCTTGGTGAGAAAGTTAATGACATCACATTTGTAGCCAAAACAGTTTAATATGCAACCTTCAATTTTGCAGAAGGGGTTAATTTTCTGAGGTCATGCCGTATTTCAAGAGGATATATGTTAATTTCTTTTGGTGTTAAAAAACAGGTAATGTATTACAGTACTTTATTGGCTTAGGTCAGGGTGCATTTAACACCGGCATTGTTCTTCCATGTGTCAATGTTTCACTGGTGCTAGTTCCTACATGTTACCTCTTAGTACCTAAGGTTTGTCCTCTGTAGTGCACTCAAAATTCATACATCTTAACTTGGACTAAGTTACAGTCCCATGTTAAATTTAGCTATTGTTAATTTACTCAAGTTAAATTTTACCTAATGTTAATTAACAGGGATCTTATCATATACAGTATATGGAAAAAGGAAAATATGGTTCAAATCTACAAAAAATGGTAGCAGACCCAGCGATTGCAACAGCGGCGAAAGGGCGACCCTGAAGATACCAGAACAGCTTCCGAAGGCAAACCTTGCCCAGCGGGAAAACCAGCAAGGCAAAGTTCCGGCTCCCGCACAGCTGCTTGAGCAACCACCGAATGACCCTGGTCCCCTTCAGATACAGCAGACGACAGGACAGCAACCAGAGCAAAACCATGGGATGAAGAGAAATGGATGCAGTCCAGGAATCCCACATGAGACCCAGACAAGTCCGAACCAGAGATGGAACCAGATGGGACTTCCACCAATGCACAAGGAACCCGAACCCAGCAAGCCGGGAAAGAACCACGTCCCTGACTAGCAGACAAGTAGACCAGCTGGGAGCCCAAACCAACCAGTCACCGAGGGAGGGCAGAACCTAAATCCCTAGCAGACGAAGACAGGTTGC